TCTCTAGTAACCCAAACTAATACAGTGAGTCATGTCTCTATTCACTGTCTGGCCTCCATGTTTTATTGATGCTCCAACAATGACAGAAACCAAGCTTTCCTTTCAGTCATGATACATTTTTAGGTTTCCAATCAGATGAAAAAAGTTACATTTTCATTTTTATGTTAGAACAACAGATCAGCGGTCACCAACCTTTTTTGCACCACGGACCGCTATATGTCAGACAATATTTTCACGGACCGGCCGAGGGGGGGGGGGTAAATACGATCAAGTAAAACGATACAACTGGCATAAAATCAAATAAAAACAGCATAAAAATAAAACAAGCCGGCCCCATCGAGGCGTAATCGGAGATCGGAGACAATGACACACGAAGTGTGCTCCTGATGTCCATACTGCTCCGTAGTTTTGTTTTGGTCGATGTAACCGCAGAAAATCCCGCTTCACAAAGATAGGATGTTATAGATAGGATGAGTCTTGAACTGAATTAACCTGTGTCAAGAGGCACAGATGCACCGACTGATGTAATTGGGAGAGAATACCGCAATTTTTTATATTTTCAAAATAAAACATCACTCAGACTCTGATAACTTATATATATATATATATATATGTATATATATATATATATATATATATATATATATATATATATATATATATATATATATATATATATATATATACATGTATTTGCCCGGTACCAAATGACCGCGGCCCGGTGGATGGGGACCGCTGTTTTAAATGAATAAATCAGCGTAACATTTCCCTAACCTGAAATATCTATAATATCATAACATTAAATGATTTGATCAACTTAATGTAGTAGTAGAATTATTATACTTTGTTGAGCTGAACCAAACATTTGTTTTATTCCTAAAAAATCCTTTAGATTTCCACTTTTTTTGTTTGTCACAATGGCACCACCTGCTGGTAGACTGGGAAACTGCATGTTTCTAAAAAGGTCTCATCCGTTAAAGGTCTCATTTGGTACATTTTTATAATATAACTGTTTGCTTTTAATTTGATACATTTGTTATATATATTTCTGTCTTTTGTTGTTGTTTTAAAGCCATAGCTTCACAAGGCTATAAAATAATCACTAACTGGAAAAGATCAAGGCTTACAATCTGGTATTTGAATGACTCTTTACAGATCGTTTGCTAAAATAAAATCAAGAACAGATCTCCTTTAGCCCCTGCTGCTTTTGCAACTTTGCTCCGTTATAAAAAAAAAAAATGGGTATGGTCATATTCCAAAAATTAGATTAGAGGTTCCAATGGGGCTTTTTGTGTCGAATCAATAGTGCATTTAGAAAAATTATAACTTTTAAGCTGGTGTTTGACAAACTCATTAGTCCCACTTTTGGTCTAATGTAATATTCTAAAAATAAATGTGTTTTCATTAGCTGGAAATTGAAAATTATCATTTTTAAAAGAAAAAAAGGTTTGTAAACATCAGTCTGTGTGTAATTAATGTATATAATGCCTTTCACTGGGAGTTACTTTAAAGTGATATACTTATTTATAGAATATGAATAATTTGATCAGTAAGCCCATTAAGACTTGGAAACCTGTACTTTGCTACCAGGTTCAAAGCATCTCAGGACACTTTGTGATCCAATCCTCTATGAACTGAACAATTGTTTTCTGCTCTGCAGTTAATTACTGTTTCCCAAAGCATACTGCTTCCAAATTCATGAGGAGAGGATGCTTTTTGGATCATACTCTGCATCTTTTTTTTGTTTTTCCTCCTACAACCTTTAGGCTTATTTCTGGTTTCATCTCAGACCTTCTAATCATAGTTTACCTCTATGCTGATTACTGATTTTCTTTTCTAAATCATCCCCAAACCTTGAAAAAGGGATCTGTAAGAGCCAAAGTAAATGTTTGTGTTGTTACAGTGACAGCTGTTAGGAGTTTTCCCACACCTCAGATTGCATTTGGGAAACACAAGACTCAGTTTCCCTGATTTCAGGTTTACAAAACATACAGGTGCTGGTCATAAAATTAGAATTTCATGAAAAAGTAGATTGATTTCAGTAATTCCATTTAAAAAGTGAAACTTGTATATTATATTCATACATTACATACAAACTCATATATTTCAGATGTTTATTTTGTTTAATTTTGATGATTACAAATGACAACAAATGAAAATCTCAAATTCATCATATCAGAAAATTAGAATATTACTGAAGACCAATAAAAACAAAGGATTTATAGAAATGTTGGCCAACTGAAAAGTATGAACATGAAAAGTATGAGCATGTACAGCACTCAGTATTTAGTTGGGCCTCCTTTGGCCTGTATTACTGCAGCAATGCGGCGTGGCATGGAGTCGATCAGTCTGTGGCACTGCTCAGGTGTTATGATAGCCCAGGTTGCTCTAATAGTGGCTTTTAGCTCTTCTGAATTGTTGGGTCTGGTGTATTGCATCTTCTTCTTCACAATACCCCATAGATTTTCTATGGGGTTAAGGTCAGGAGAGTTTGCTGGCCAATTAAGAACAGGGATACCATGGTCCTTCAACCAGGTACTGGTAGCTTTGGCACTGTGTGCAGGTGCCAAGTCCTGTTGGAAAATGAAATCTGCATCTCCAAAAAGTTGGTCAGCTGCAGGAAGCATGAAGTGCTCTAAAACGTCCTGGTATGTGGCTGCGTTGACCCTGGACCTCAGAAAACACAATATACCAACACCAGCAGATGACATGGCACCCCAAACCATCACTGACTGTGGAAACTTTACACTGGACTTCAAGCAACGTGGATGAAGTGCCTCTCTTCTTTTCCTCCAGACTCTGGGACCTTGATTTCCAAAGGAAATGCAAAATTTACTTTCATCAGAGAACATGACTTTGGACCACTCACCAGCAGTCCAGTCCTGTTTCTCTTTAGCCCAGGCAAGACGCTTCTGACGCTGTCTGTGGTTCAAGAGTGGCTTGACACAAGGAATGCGACAGCAGAAACCCATGTCTTTCATACGTCTGTGTGTGGTGGTTCTTGAAGCACTCACTCCAGCTGCAGTCCACTCTTTGTGAATCTCCCCCACATTTTTGAATGGGTTTTGTTTCACAATCCTCTCCAGGGTGCGGTTATCTCTCTTGCTTGTACACTTTTTTCGACCACATCTTTTCCTTCCCTTCGCCTCTCTATTAATGTGCTTGGACACTGAGCTCTGTGAACAGCCAGCCTCTTTAGCGATGACCTTTTGTGTCTTGCCCTCCTTGTGCAAGGTGTCGATGGTTGTCTTTTGGACAACTGTCAAGTAAGCAGTCTTCCCCATGATTGTGTAGCCTATAGAACTAGACTGAAAGACCATTTAAAGGCTTTTGCAGGTGGTTTGAGTTAATTAGCTGATTAGAGTGTGGCACCAGGGGCCATCAATTTTGAACCTTTTCACAATATTCTAATTTTCTGATATGATGAATTTGAGATTTTCATTTGTTGTCATTTGTAATCATCAAAATTAAACAAAATAAACATCTGAAATATATGAGTTTGTATGTAATGTATGAATATAATATACAAGTTTCACTTTTTAAATGGAATTACTGAAATCAATCTACTTTTTCATGATATTCTAATTTTATGACCAGCACCTGTAGTTTTCAGTAAACCTGCTTTTTGTGAAATAATCTCCAGCGTTCCCAGAAAAGAGCTCCGTGGTCACCAGTCCTTTTTCTGATGGTTTTGGGGTCCCGTAATGCTGGGTACAGACCTTTAAAGGGGATTTTGTCATTTATTTTTTATTTGGTGGTTGAAATAGAAAATAATAAAATTTACTAATCAATTTCAATTCAATTCAGTTTATTTCTATAGCGCCAATTCTCAACACATCATCTCAAGGCAATTTACAGTTCACCAGATCATCCAGTCAAATTGATTCAAAGTTTTCTATCTAAGGAAAACCCGTTGATTGCATCAACTCATTGACTCAAAAGCAATCCCTCACACTTAACATGCTTGTAGCGACAGTGGAGAGGAAAAACTCCCTTTTAACTGTAAGAAACCTCCAGCAGAACCAGGCTCAGTGTGAGCGGCCATCTGCTGAGGCCGACTGGGGTTCAAGGAGGCAGAAGCAGATATACAAAAAGCAACAAGTCAACTCTAATAGGTTTGAACCAACCAATGGAAACTTGAATTTCCATCAAATGGCTTAAATGACCAAAAACAGTTTTCTTGTTCCCCCATTAAAAACTTTAATTTTTGTTCTAAAATCCCTTCACATTTTTTCTGTTTTTCTTTAGTGAATTCATCAGTTTATTCAAAAATGCTTTGCTCACATTTTCTTGCAGATGTGGAGGCCTTTGCTAAAGCCATGGAGACGGAAACAAAGTCCGATCAGGAGAACGACTCTAAAGACAAGAAGGACGACGATGAAGACATGAGTTTGGACTAAATGTTTGTTAAAGGAAGCTCAGATTATTATTTATATGTATTTATTTATCTGCTGCTCTCCAGTGTCTCTTAACAAAAATAACTAATATAGTAACTACTGCTCTGTTCTCAGCTGCTCCTGATAGCAGACATGACTATGACCTGTTGTCCTTATCCCAGGAGACAGTAAAGCGTGAAACAAAACATGTTTGTTTTATTGATTCAGATCTTAATATTGCTTACTCACCGTCTGTGTGTGCACAAGTGGAAGTGTTATTCACATTTACTCTGAAAGAGACTTCCATCAACATTTGTGGTTCAAATTTGGTTTAAAACTTTAGTTTCCCAACAGAAGTTCAGTAAGATGGAGGTTTCTGATCACTCCTATGATCCTGAGGGCTATTTTGACCAGATCAGGGCTTTTTGCCTCGATGCAAAACTAGCCCAGTGGAGAGAGTGAGGCTAAGAGCTAAACCAGGTGTCAAATGCAACAAAAAAACAGGGAAATATGTGAACATTGCTGTCTGACTGAGATCTGGGCACATTTGTGTGGCAAGACGTCATAAGCCTGAAAATTATAATTTCCAACATCAGGATAAAGAGTTAAAGAGAGGCAAACAAGTTCTGCAGATTTTGATGTTTATTTTGAACACAGATCATGTCAGACTCAATCACCATCACAAAGTCTGCGATTGTTAATTAGGTCCTGATTATTTCAAGAGACGACGTCTGAGATGCTGCAGGACAAAGGAGGAAATGTTGGGATTTAAAAACAAATGGTTTCACTGATACTGCGGTTTCAGGCACTTTGTCACCATATTCACATAAATGCTCAAATCTGAGATGATACTGCTGCTGGGTACAACATTTAAATCCATTGTGTGCAAACAAAAACTACAATCAGGTATTTTTTTTTCTCCATTCATTTCTTTAAAAAAAACAACTTCTTTGGGTCGGACTTTGTGAGCTACTTTAAAGTAAAATTCCTGAGAACCAAAATACTTATCAGCAAAACACAGACACACAAAACAATCCCCTGCATAATAACATCAAACAGGAAGTAAACACTACATACTACTGTAAAACCCAAAGGTTGATTTTTTTTTTTTTTTTTTTTATGTAACACCACAGTGATAAACACGGCACAGGAGCACAGCAAACACCAGACTCAGAGCTGCCATAAGAGTCTCAATAATCTCTTGCTTTCAGTATAAATATGTGGATCAGACTGGATCGCTGTGAGACACGATAAAACAAAGATGGATAAATTAAAGGCCACTTCTTAGCCTAGAGTCTCGTTCCCACAGCTAAAGAGGCGTCACAGTGCTGGAAAGCCATTTTACAAAATCTACCCTGGTTCTTTTTTTTCTTTGTTTTTCATCAGTTAAAATAAATACAGTCTGTAGAATAAAAATGTGCAGAAACATCCGTTTTCCTCTAGAAAACACACAAATCAAAACTAACTCTGTACAAGTTAAGATCATTATGGTGCTTTAAAAAGATACATCAGAAGAGAAAACAGTTAAAAGCACATTAAATGTGCTGATTGATTTAAAACGTCTCTAACATAGAGCTCATGAGTGGATCACATACAAAAAGACATTCGGAGACGCTAACGACCTACAGTGTTTGACATAGAATGTAAACTATTTTTTTTCCCCCCCTCTCAGATTTACAGTGAAAATAAATAGTACCAGAAGTATTTAATTCAAACACCACAGCTTATAAAGGTGATCGATCCGCTACAGCATCCAGTCTAACCCTGCTGCACCAGTCTGCGGTAGTGGGGCATGACCTTGCTCTCTGGGAGGTACAGTCCCATCTCCAAAGCCACCAGAACGGAGAACTCCAGAGGAATCAGCTCCCGTCTGTTTATCCGGAAACGCTCCTCCAGCTTCTGCTCATCGGAGAGGAGAAAAAAAAACAGGGAGAAACATTTTAAATCTCTGCTGTGGGTCCTAGTTAAACAGTTCTCACTTTTTTATAACTTGTGCTCAACTAATTTCACACCCAAATACCATTGGCTAGTAGAATAACACTGAATCCCACATGGTTGTGATGCATCGCAATTCAAAGTTAAGGGATATATATACAATCACCAACTTGTATAAACTCTGTATGTAACTTTAGACATGTTAAAATTATTTTCTTCTCCTTTCATAATAAATGCAAATTTCAGACCTCTTTATAAACATTGTGAAACTGATCCAAATTAAAACCAGGAGTGCCAGACTAGGGCTGGGTACCGAACACTGGTTCTTTTATGGTACCAACCGAAATGGAAAAATTAGAGCTTAAAATCAAAATCAAGATTTGTACTTTATTATTGTATGTAATTTTCTTTTTCTTCAAATTGATATTATAAAACTGGTATCGAAAAAAGTATCGTTCAGGAACCGGTATCGAAGTGAAGGTATTGGTATTGGTACCGGCACCGAAACTTTTTGAACAATACCCAGACCTATGCCAGACTGGATTATTGGAGCTTTATGTGTAATTTGACAAAACAACACATTTCTACATGTAGCTTTACACACATTTTCATTCAAGCACTTTCTTTTATAATATTTAAAAATTTCAGCTTTCAGAATTTTTTATTACGCATTTTCATTACGTATCTAATTACTTCTTCTTTTCCAACCTCATCTTGTTGCCTAAAATATTATGACAATTAAAGTTTGATCGGTCACCAAGAGACAACAATGAAACATGCTCCTGGGGATGATGTTTCACGTTGTTTGGTTTCCAACATATTCAGCACACCTAGTACAGAACTTATGCTTGATTTTGGGAGCAAACAGAGTGGTGAAGTAGCCCGCGTAATTTAGATAATCTAAAATTGGCAGACAGGTGAAAAATGTGTTTTTATCCTGATGTTTTAACTTTTCTATGGGAAAAAAATGAGCTTTGGAGGATTATAACAAAAAGTGATTTTGTCTGATGGGATATTACTTTTCTGTGTTGTGTTAAGGACAAAATGAGGCAATCTATGCCAGGATAGAACGTGTTTTGGAATATTAAAGGACAAAAACAAGGTCAGAAGTTAAAACTATGAGTAGTAAATTGATGACAGCTTATTAGATACTGGTGTTTGTGGAGTATAGATGGCTTCTTTTTGAGCTGATGGTCATTTTCTTTAGGATTGCCTGATTCTAAAGAGGTACAATATATTGGGTTTTGTGTACAAATAAGCTTGCTGTTCGATACGTAACAAAATGTGGGGCTGGGTGTTGGGAGCTTAGAGGTTGCATCAAAACCATCCGATCAAGCGTAATTTATGGGGATTTTATGTGTTCAGAGTTATGGGGACATCTTGCAATGGTATGGAAAGAAATAGGAGCAAAACTTAATGTTCTTTATCAGTTAAAATAAATAAAAGCCTAATTTTCTATCCAAACAAACCATAAGATTAAAAAATGTAAAAGCTTTTTGCATATTTAAAAGCAAAAAATTATATGTATTCATCACTTTCATTATTATTTTTTACATAAAGTTTAGAACTTTACACTTTTATAGTAATTTTTTTTTCATATCTCCATTTAAAATCCCAATAAAGTTCAAAGAGTCTGTGGCTGTCATGTGACAAAATAAACCAAAGTTCAAGGGGTCTACAGACTTCAAAAAGAGAAATGCATGTTAAGGAAGCAAATAGAGACTCATCATTCTGTCGCCATGTTTTTTTCCCCCCAAAGAAGCAGCTTTATTCTTCTGCAGCAGCTGTTTCCATGGAAACTACAGGTACAGCAAACCTAACCAACCAACCAACACTAAAACGGCCCGGGCATCATGCACCCCGACTGTTTCTGAAGTATCAAAATTAAACACCTGATTCAGCAAAAACGTAACAGATTGTTGAGACCTTATTGAACATTTTATCTGTATCTGATGATTTTTATTTTATTTAAATGAGACGAAATCACATATATGTGCAAAAGTAATTTGATTTATGAAATGTGCATCAAACAGGTTGTTTTCCTTATGTGACGGTAATCAGTGGTTAGGCCGGTCACAGGGAGGGATAAGGACCCAATCACACAGCAGACGGTTTTGTAAGCAGTTCATCAGGGTTCTAGTCTTAAATAATCACTTCAGTTGATTGATCTGTAACTATTCAACCTTAAAAAGGCAAAAGTTCTCCCTTAAAAGCTGGATAATGGATGAAGTTCATTTTAGGAGTGAAACTAGAACCAAGAAAAGGTGAAGAAGCTTTTAGTATCTTTGTTAAAAACAACCGGAATAAAAAAAAATTAAAAGTTAATGAAACTGAATTTATGCATTGCATTTTTTGTTCCTATAATAATCTATTAAGCACACTCTTACATTTATTGTTTGACCGTATGAATAAAAAAGACAAGTCTTCATTAAATATCCACATGCAGCTCTAAAGATATTCTCTCCTTCAGACTTGGATCTTAAATTTGATTCTTTATTGATAAACTATAGAAGCGTTAACTGGTGGGAACTCATTCTCTTCTTCAAAAGGAGCACATCCACATAGAAAGCTTTTTGCTAGATGTCCTTGAGGTGAAGCTTTCAAGATCTTTCCATTCTGACAGGCCAAGCTGTTATTAAAGCCTCTGCTGTGTTTAATACTGGCTGTTTACTCACGTCAATGAGCTGCTTGACTTCTGGTTTCCGTAGATCACTGCTGATCTTTGCAGCCAGCAGCACGCAGGCAGCTGCCACAAGCTTCCTGTTCTGCTTGTTGAGGCGGCCTTGCAGCACTAGTTTCTCAAAGTAAACAAAGGCCATTGCTATGGTGACCGGCTGCAGGCCGCAATCTTCACTCACGGCCCTCATCTCCCTCTTCAGGCTAGCGGAGAGGAGAAGTCAGTTACTCGTTTGTTCCCAGTGACAGTGAGTAGTCTGGATCTGAACCATTTTAACTCACTCCAGTAGGACGAATCTTAATCACAGAAGAAGATGCTCACCTTCTGATCTTGCTCAGTGTCAGCTTAATGTGAAGAAACTTCTCCTTGAACGTCTCGTTCATGTCCTTCTTCAGGTCGGATGGTTTCACGTACTCTATAACGGTCGTCTGCAGAGATGGAAAACAAAGCATCTGCTTAATCCTTCAGAAATCAGCTCAAATCGGAACATTTAATGGAACTTTCCTTCTCTCTAACAAACACAGACACACCCACACAAAGGGCCAGAGGTCACTGCCATGTGACACAATGAGGACATGGTATCACATGAACACTGTATAATGGGAGGCATTCTCTCTCCAACACGACCGGAGGTTTTAAAGACTTGGAGGACTGACAGAACAATATACAAGTCAAATGAAACTGTCCAGATTTCTGGTGTGAAGAACTGTGAGACCAGATGGTCAAGAGAAAAACCAGGATATGACCATCTGTGAAAGTCTGGACAGCTTAAATACAAAGGTCAGCTCACTCTGTATTGTATCCCCAAAGGGGATGGGTTTAATTCAAGGTTAATTTCTCATCAATAAAGTTCATGTAAAAGTAAAATAGGTGAAATTGAAGAAATCTGTAAAACACAATATAAAATAAATAATAAATTGAAGTAAAAAAAAAACAAAAACAGCTTTAGCAGCTAGAAACCAGTCCATCATCTGGCAGTGGATTTACTTCTGCCCACTCTGCATTAATTCAGCCACATTTGAGGCATTTTGCGATAAAGGGCCTCTCTGTATATTTAAGACTGTAGATTAGTGAAAACCCAAACTGTTTTTTCAGCATCAGGATCTTCTGATAAACCTCATTCCCCCTTTAACTACAGACGTTCATCCAGGTCCTGAAACAGCCATAACCCCAGTCCACCTCAATAAAAGCCTCATGGATCACCATGATGATTTTTGGGGAATTTAAGGTGGTTATTTTTCTTCTTTATAGTCTGTGGTCTGTTAAACTTTCCCCTAAAGGCAGAAGGAAGCTCTCTCTTAACCAAGAAAAATGAGACCTGGGTATTTAAGTGACATCCTGGATGATTCATGGGAGATATTTGGGTTGGGTGGATAATTAACCCAGTTTAACAGCTCCCATTTTCCAAACAGATAAATTACATACTTAATGCCATCAGTAATTCAGTAATCATGACAGGGTATGGGTGATGACATCAGCCTAATCTCTGCAACAGTTATGACTAATCACATTTCAACTAAACAAGAAGTCCATTTTTTTTTTTTAACAAGAGTCCAGATTGGTTCAGCTTTTCTCCATTAATATGTTGTATCAAAATGTTAGTCTGTGACATGTCTATGTGTGACAAAAAGCAGGAAGTGAAGAAATCAGTTCTGGGAACATAACATTTTCACAGTATGGTGACGAATCTGAGAAGAGAACAAAAGAGAAGAGCCTTTTCAAGAGGAAAAAAAAAAAACTGTCATCTGGTTTTATAACACAAGCTTAACATCTGACTTATGATCATGTTTCCTGAAATTCAAAGGTCATTGAAACATATCTAAACACTAGGAGTTCATTTAATGTACACCAGGGAGAAACCAACCCGACAGAGGGAAGGTAAAGATAGAATAATCAATCTAAATGTCTGTAAACGAGTGGAAGCTGTGACAGTCATCAGCAGAAGAAAAGCAGACTGGAGGCTGTGGGCCCAAGTCTCTCATGGAAAACTTTCTAAAGCTTACTGAGAAAATAAATACACAAAACTCAGAAAATAAAAAACAACAAACTCCGATTATGGGTGGGTCACTGATTTGCATCCAACTCTGAATGTGCCTACGACTGCGGGCCTCCAGGTGCTTAAAAACAACAACTCACAAATTGCACAGCCATGTTTAAATGAAGTAAATAGTAAACATGACATTTGAATCTTTAGGATTGTTTTATTGTAAAACAAACAAAAAAGAAACATTTATATGTACGTCATCTTTCTTTCTTTCTTTTTTTTTTTTTAAATCAAGGTGTTAAACTGCTCTGCTTCTTAATTATTTAAATAAAAATCAAAAGCACCCGGAAGTACAGCCTTGCTAATTGGATCTCTGATTGCTTTAACTCTTTTACTAATTGTAATGACATTTACTTAATTTACCAACTGTATTTAAAAAAAAAAAAATTATTCTTAAGCAACCAGCATCATCAATTAATATGAAAGGGACAATACATAGTTTATAAATTTGCAACTTTTTAACTATAAATCACATTTATGTCACTCTAATAATCAGCTTTAAAAACAAAAGCCTAAAATATAGGATTTTTAAGATTTTTTTCAGACTGAAGGGGAATTAGATTTATTTTACTTTGTTATCCAATGTTTAAGTCTCTTCTCTCTGGATGTTTGAATTTGGTTTGAACCCTACAGTTTGTGTATGTGACCTAATGGAATTAAAACATTTTAACAAAATCTTTCAGTACCAGATAAATGGATATTGTTTGAAATAATAGTGAAGCAACAGATGCCCTGGATCATTTCTATGTGCTCTGCTTACCACATATGATGCAAATATAAGGACCCTCTTATGTCTCCCACAAGGCCAACAAGGATCACTGAGAAGATTCGGGTCATAATCCGCCACCTCCTCTATATCTGCAACACATAACCCAGCAAACGATTAGATGTGGTGAAAAAGTGCAGAAGCAGCAGGCGTGTGCATGTGTGTGTAAACGTACATGTGTTCATACAGGAGTCTTGTGCTGTGCCGCTGTTTGGACGAGCCGGGGTAAAGCCTTTTTGCCCGTTGGCACGGAAACGACACTGAGGGGTCTGAACGGTGCTGCTGTCCAGCACAGTGCTGCTCTTCTGTCTGACCAGTGCATTTGTCGGGTAGAGAAACTGAGCGTAGGACACCGTCTAAAGAGGAGGAAGGACAACTTTGGTTAATGGAGTAGTTATAAAGCTCTGGAACATGTGTTCATTCACACAACAGGTTAATTTTTCGAACCTGTTTTCAAAGTTTAGCTGGATAATAATAATACTGACAAAAATAAAGGACTTTAAAAGCAGGAACTGGATTCAAAATGTTGAATTTATCATGTATTTATCCACTCCTCAGAGGTGTTAAGATTCAAATGTATGCATACAGCACCTACCAAACATTTGGATAAATGTCCCTTATTTTAAATCCATCAAGAAGTTTCCAGCATGATTAAGCCCAATCATGTTTATTGCAGTTTTTCTATCTTTATTTAAACAGGTGGTTGTGTTTTTTTAAACCATCCTCTTACATCAATATGTATTTTTACTAATAACTGTTTAAAGTATTTTCACCTTTCTTAGATGTTTTTCTCCCATTTGTTTTTTTTTTTTTCTTTTTAACTGTATGCTTTCTTCTGCCTGTTTCTTTTTCCTCTTTGGGACTATAAAGGCATTTTTATTCCATAAAATAAAATAAAAATCTGTCTAGGTAAACATGACACTCTTTGTAATAAAACCTAATTTTGATTTATAGACAAGAAATCTGCCTTACTTGTGCAGAAGTTATACATTTTGTAAAAGATTATAATTTTATATAGAAACATTAGGGATGCATCGAAATGAAAATCCCTGGCCAAAATGGGAAAACCAAAAAATTAGGAAACCGAGGCCAAAAACTGAAACACCGAAAGAAATTATGTCAGAAATTAGAATCATAGCATTTTTTGCTATAAGTACTAACCCTATTAAAAAAATAACCTTTTTAAAATCAAGGTATTTCAATAAATCAATTACAGAAGTATCAAAACATTTATTTACCTCTGCCATCCTTTCATTATGCCCCTTTTCTCGGCAGCATCATTTGGAAACTTTGTTGTATTTTCAAACATGTTTGCCACAGAGTGGGCATTTCCAGTGTCAGTTTCCTTTTTTGTGTGCCGTTGTTCTCATATTCATAAAGGTGATGGGGATGTTTGGATTTCTGTGACATTATGTGCCACTGGCCTGAGCCCGCAGTGAGACCAATGTGCAGCATTCAAAGTGTCTCAAAACCAGCCTGCCGCACTTTCAACTCTGAAAAACTCTGCTCTGCTACCCTCCTCTCTTGGTTCAGTCTTTCTCTTTTTGCGCTCGATAACATTTGTGTGCTGGCTGTGTTGTTTACTTGCGATCCAGTTTACCCCATTCTGGATGGGCTGTTTGTTGCGTCATTACAAGTTTGCTCAGTTTAGGCCAAAAACTGCATTTTCAGTGGCCAAATTTTCAATGCATCCCTAACAGAATTACAAATAATTATATTTTTTCCTTCCACTCAACTTTCTGTTTACATGCTTGGATACAGCATTCAGAATGGATCATTTTTCAGCATTTGGTGGATACTTATCCAAAGAGGACTACAAAGGAGAACTAAGAGCGTCTCCAAGTATCGACCAGTCTACTGCTGATAAGTAATCAATATTCCCCATGATTGTATCAACTAGGGGTCTACAACTTTTACTGCTAAAGAGCCATTTTTATACTGAGTCTAATTAAATAGAACTTGTTTAGAGTTGCTAAATTTACATGACTTTTTTTCTTATGAATATCTACTGTAAAACATTGATTGTCATTTTTAAACAGCCACTATTTTCTATATAAGTTTTTGTAAGAAACAAAAACGATTTTCTTCAAGATTTGGCTATTAGTGTAAAATTATGCAATCAAAGCTCAATGTTTACAACCGCATAAAAATAGATCTAAAAAGTATTACTTCTCTATTGTAAAAATTCAATACAAACTGAGTTTTAGTTTCAATTTTTAAAGCACTTAAATTACATCACTTGGTGTGGTATAAAATCAACAAACTATGAGTGTCAGGTCATTTATTTACCAACGATATGATTTTCTTAGATGCTCTTGTATAATTATTCACCCCACCCAAAAACAACTGTTCAAATAATCAAAAGGCCAAAACCAATATATAAGATTAATGCCAAAAAATATGTTTTTTTGTTTGTTTTCTGTATCAGATATAGGAGAATCATGTACCTTTCCAATGGCACCCAGCTCCACACCTTCCAGGGAAGGCAGCAGATCAGCAGCAACAACAGAAGATAATCTTTGTCTCTGAGCGTCCAGCTTCGGATCACTGCTCATACACAGACACATATATTTATGTAATTTCTGACACCAACGCAGCTCTTCATTGGGGATGACATGGATCACATGGATGGATGATGGAAACATAAATGTGAGATCAGGAGGGGGGGAGGGAGTTGCTGCATCCTTAGTACCTGAGATTAGCACTTTCTCCATAGGGCAGCACTGAGAAAGCAGCATAAAGCGACCGCTTGGCACAAATCAGCGTGATCCTGCAGGACACAGCATGAACAGGCAGACAAAACAGATGGAGTGTCAGTCTACAGACAGCAGACAGGCACTGCTAGGCTACACACCACAGATATTAGCTGTAGTGACTAGGGATGGGCAGTGATCTTTTGCTTTCTTTTTATATTGACAATAAATACAAATGATGATGATGCTAACCTAAAACTTAATTATCATTAAGATTGCCTTATTATACCACCTCTTTTCTCCAGCTGTAGGCTCCATTAGAGCAGCAGAGATAAATATAAAAGCCCAAACATCAAATGCCATTTAACAGCTGTGTTTGTGGGGCTTTGGCTCAACTCTAGTAAAGTAACAGACATAAAATCTATTACTAAACATATTTTTATTCATCATCATCATTGCTATTGTAATAAACACCAAAACATATTTTTTTTTCTCCATATCGCCCATCCCTAGCACTAACAGACAATCACAGAGCCACATCTACGACAGTCACCACTAAAGCGTCAGTCACAGCTATGAAAACCACTGAAAGCAACGTTAGAGAGGGTTATTTCTAACATTTCTAACTAATGAGATTCAGCTGGTTGATTTTTCATTAAAAAGCTTCAGCTGTTCTTATCTCAAGATATTCAGAGATTCTTTAGCAGGTGAAATGAAATAAAGACAATTTTATAGAACGCTTTTTGAATGCGTGTATAAGAATTTCTCTTTCAAAAGAAATTTTGTAAATCTTATAAAACCTTTCGAGTATTTACTTGCTGAGGGAAACATGTATTTATGCTGAAAAGGTTTTGCAACCATTTCCTTGACTTTAGGAAATGTATTTAGCTCAGCATCTCTGATCATACTGCCTGATTAAAGCTCAGCGGCAAACGTCAGTTTAACACTAGTGGATAAAATAACTTTTTTTAAATTACAACAACCTTGGTGAGCTGAAGAAAGATGAGGAAGGAACGATAAATCGTTATTAGTTGATGTTTGTCAATCGTTAACATATCAGCATCTTTAACACATCAGTCCCATTAATAAAACAACAGATATTAACAAATGCTGGTCTATTTTTATCCATTTCTTGTAAGTAAGAAATGTAAATGAATGTAAGCGATGAGGTTTTTTTTTGTTTGTTTTCCTAGTGTGTCAAAATGGTCAAGAAATTCTTATAATATAGTTATAAGTTCTGGACTTTAAAAGCAAATTTAATATTTGATATAAATATCACCAATTTTCACATATCTGCATCTCCTCTCTCTATGTAATAAAGTTACAGTTTTATTTAACTGTGATTACAGTTTTCCTTCAATAAAGATGCAAACCAAACAATCCAGACTGATGTTGCTAATTTTCTAAACTTAAAAACTTATTTCCATTATCAAGCTCTAAAACAGAAAGAAAAGAAAAAAGTAGACGTTTCCTTTTTTCTACTTTTTTACTCAGAAGGAAGAATCTTACTAAAAGAATTTTATCTTGCAAAGATTTTCTTATTCAAAGTATTTTTTGTTGATTTTTTTTCTCCAATAAGTCAAGGGTAGAGCTAAACGCTGCTATTGTTAGTTTCTATTTACATATACCAATAACGAGGAACTTTTATACATTGTGACCTACATATTATTTCTCTCAATCTACTAGGGTTGTCACGATACTAAACTTTTCAACTCGATACCGATACTAAGTAAAATATTCGATACTCGATACCCTTTTCGATACCACAAGAATAAAAACAAAGATTTTAAAATTCAACAGAAATTTTTTCATTACTAAAAAAAATACAAGAAATAAATAAAAAAACAATAAGAATAATATTTTGTGGTTGTATGCTGTGCACAATATTAAGCAAGCTTGATAAAAAACTTAAAATTAAAATGAAGTGTTCCTTCCTTGACTTTCTTTTGCAGACATAACAAGGACACAAGCCAAACCAGTTAAAGGAATAGTACACCCAAAACATGATTAGCCTTCATTTTCTACTCACCCCCATGCTGAACAACACTCTGGAGTACTTTTTTGATATCTCAAATGCATCTGGAGATCTGGGAGGCTTCTTGCTGTCTGCTGACATTCAAATAATGGAGGTCTATGGCGCCCGAGACAGAAAGGTCCATAAAAGTCCACAAAAAACGTGTCAATATTCCTCCATACTGCTCGTCCAATGTATTCCAAGTGTCCTGAGTGGGTAGCATCCAGAATTTACTCGAAACAAAGTCATTTAGAATGTTTTTAGAGCATAAACAGTAGTGTATAGGATTTCCTGAAAGCGCGCACATGCGCGCTCACGACGCTACGGAAGCCGGCAGACCAAACCAGATGAAAGTGCGCATTCAGCGTCTGCTCTGCCAATAATGCAAGCGTAGAAGAAGAAATGTGCTGTTTACCTGTGCAAAGAAAGAAACAACGAAAGAAAAATGTCTGAGGACTTCAGTGTTGAGGAAGAGCATGAGTTCTTTGCCAAGCTGAATGCGCTTGGTTTGGTCTGCCGGCTTCCGTAGCGTCGTGAGCGCGCTTTCAGGAAATCCTATACACTACTGTTTATGCTCTAAAAACATTCTAAATGACTTCGTTTCGAGTAAATTCTGGATGCTACCCACTCAGGACACTTGGAATACATTGGACGAGCAGTATGGAGCAATATTGACACGTTTTTTGTGGACTTTTATGGACCTTTCTGCCTCGGTCACCATAGACCTCCATTATTTGAATGTCAGCAGACAGCAAGAAGCCTCCCAGATCTCCAGATGCATTTGAGATATCAAAAAAGTACTCCAGAGTGTTGTTCAGCATGGGGGTGAGTAGAAAATGAAGGCTAATCATGTTTTGGGTGTACTATTCCTTTAAGCAAAAATTGTTCTCAGCAGCTGCACCTGTTACAAAAAAAGTCTGAAACTGAAAAATGCACAGAATTATTCAATCACACAGTGATTAGAAAGTGCATTTTCCACTATTCTGCACTTTAGATGGCTGTATCGATACTTTTTTAAATGAGTATTGTATCCGGATACAACGTTTCAGTATCGATACTTTTTTGAGTATCGATACTTTTGACAACCCTACGATCTACTCATAAATGAAAAAGGACATTTGTAGGGCTGCAACTAATGATTATTTTGTTAATTGATTAATCTGTTGATTATTCTTTCAAGTAATCAATTAACAATAGCACATAAAAAGGTCCCCAAAAGATGATTTTATACAGAATTTAAACCAAGTGAAGCTTAACTAGTCCACCTAGGGAAATCTAAATGCAGCATTTTTATGGACTTTTTTTTTTCCATCATGAATGGGAAATGTTAAGCTTTTATTTTACAATTTTTGGTAAAATGACTACTTTATGTAGGCTGCTCTTGTAATTACTGGCATGTTTTACGGTCTTTATACTCCAGTTAACAATCAGTCGATTACCAAATTATTAAAATAATTTCAATAATCGATTAATCATGATTACTCCACTTAATTGTTTAAGACCTAGACATTTGCTTTTCATAGAATATTTGTATTCAATTTAAAAATACTAAGTTATCTCAAAGGGAAATTAAATAATATTTAACGAAAACTAGCTGAAAGGTGACTCAAAAACCAAGGTGTGTACAGATCTAGGTTATTTGTGTGGTGGAACAAGCTTAGGTAAATCTTAGATACCTACTATTTTTGACTTGATGAAGAAACCTTACATAAGTTGATCATAGTACGATAAAAAGAAACATTAAATGCCTAATTAGTTTTCTTTACATTACATCTTTCACTATCCTCTGAGTCCATTTTGTTGTTTGTTAAAGACACACAGACTAGAGGCAGATCAGCCAAAACACGAGGCATGAACAAACAAACAGACAGACTCTCTGACTCTATGGAGCTTCTCTCTATAAAGTAAAAAATGGAGAAACCGGCTTCTCCCAGTCTTCTTGAAAGCATCGTGACCAGTAAACCTACAAGAACACCAGGGCTTTACCTGTTCACAAGACAACAATGACATGCAATCTGTAGTCTGCTCTTTGACAACCTACCAACACACACCCAGAGCTTAACAACTAAAAGCACCTGCTAGAGTTTATGACCTCAACTTACACAATATAAACAGGTTCGCTTCCCCTTGGGAAAAAAACAAAACAGAAACTCAACCTGTGGGAGAGTTTAGGATTGATACATCATTTTATTTGCACAGACGGGCAGGAAAAAGACGTACAAATGTATATGGAGATGGATATGAAGGAGATGATAAGACAAATGAAACACTGAAGTCAATGTTGCTCTTTTTTTTGTGTGTGTGATGTTTATGAGGATAAAATTCAAAGATGTACTTATCTGCACTTGTGTGGACAACAAGCTTAATAAGCTACCAACAGTATGTTATTCAAGTCACATCTTGCTTGAGGATAACGTTACCGCTGGTGCAATACAGTGTTAGATTTCTTCACTGCACCCCTTTTGGCTTTTGCTAAGCTACCGAGGGTGATTAAATTCACTGTTGCAATCCTCTCACAGCAGCTGTGTATCCCGGTTATTTCTCTGCAGCCTCTCTACCAGAAGTAATCAGCTTATAACAACTCTATGCAAGAGCATTATGCTTCTGCTATTATAGTAGGCCTACCTTTCCAGATATTACAACAGCTTTTATTTATTATATTGTGTTAAAAAGTGTGATTCTAAAAGCTTTCTATAGACGTACCTGCTTCCTCTTGTATCATATTGCCTCATGCTCTTGATGAAGTGGACTTTCTTTGGCACCTTGGGTCCAGGAGAACCAGAACCGTTCCTCTGTCTGCACCAAGAGACAAAAAATAGACCACTTTAGTGAAAGTTTCACAAGCAAACCCAAAACATTAATGTAATGTAGCCTCTGGCTCACTTCTTCACACCAAAATAAATTGCCCTCCTTGGTCTTTATGTAAACAGGTTATTAAAACTATAAAATGTATTCCTGATGTTAATGTTTGCTTGAGTAATATTCATTAATCCAAGAAAATAAACACTTCAATTAAGCTATTTTATGTCATATCAAAGTTAGATTTGGATCTTGTTGACCTGGGCTACCTGTCCTTGCCTGCTCAACCACTCCCACTATGCAGGATTGAAAAGGGACCCAGTCTATGCTGTTGACTACTTTCAGATTTTAAAAATCCCATTTATGCATCTAGATAATTTTTAACTAAATGAATCATATAAAAAACAGACTATTATTTCTTTTTGCAAATAAAAAATAAAGGCTTCATCCAACTTGACAAGCTGCAGCACCTTATGCATTTACTTCATACTTGCACTTATTTTTTTTTGCATGTTGAATAGGTAATATATTGGTCTTAAAGACCCTTACATCACAGCTGAGAGGTGTGTCAGACGCAGATTCATTCATTAACACTCAATCACCACTCAAAACAATTAATAAAAATTATTGTAATATACATGTAATAAACTGAGCATATACATAAGGTAGAGTATTAGGGCCACAGAAAAAAAGTCCCTGGTGACGCTATTTCATTTATATAAGAGCAGTTAGTTTAGTCTCTAGACATGGCTATGGCTTGATGCTAACACGTTTGTTAGCTGTCAGAATTCTGAGGTTGAAAAAAAGTCAGAATTCTGAGGGGGAAAAAGTCAGAAATTTGAGGTTAAAGTCAGAATTCTGAGATTAAAGTCAGAATTCTGAGGGGGAAAAAGTCAGAAATTTGAGGTTAAAGTCAGAATTCTGAGATTAAAGTCAGAATTCTGAGATTAAAGTCAGAATTCTGAGGTCAAAGTCAGAATTCTGGGATTAAAGTCAGAATTCTGAGATTAAAGTCAGAATTCTGAGGTTAAAGTCAGAATTCTGAGGGGAAAAAAGTCAGAATTCTGAGATTAAAGTCAGAATTCTGGGATTAAAGTCAGAATTCTGGGATTAAAGTCAGAATTCTGGGATTAAAGTCAGAATTCTGGGATTAAAGTCAGAATTCTGGGGGGGGGGAAGCCAGAATCCTGAGATCAAAGTCTGAATTCTGAGATTAAAGTCTGAATTCTGAGATTAAAGTCTGAATTCTGAGATTAAAGTCTGAATTCTGAGATTAAAGTCTGAATTCTGAGAAAAAAAGTCTGAATTCTGATAAAAAAAAGTCTGAATTCTGATAAAAAAAAGTCTGAATTCCGAGAAAAAAAAGTCTGAATTCACAGAAAAAAAAGTCTGAATTCCGAGAAAAAAAGTGAATTCCGAGAAAAAAGTCAGAATTCTGAGAAAAAAAGTAAAAACTGTGATATTAAAGTCATAATATTTAACTGAAATATTTACAAATCAGTTAACTTTTTTTATTTTTTCAGTGGCCCTAATCCTCTTCCGTATATACACCTGATGGGGCGAATTAAAATCATTTAAAACGGAAATCAATGGTTCGTTTCGAGGCCCGTTTTGTTCTGTGATGGTGCCCGCTTACCTCTGCCGGGAATCCAGACAGTTTCCTGCCGGAGTCGGGCTGAGAACGGCGGGCGTTGATTTGGCCCGGGAGCAAGGCTGGTGTCCCGCTGTGACAGGAGACAGCGGGGTACCCGGAAACTGCGTCTCCGCTACGCTGGAGCTCTCTAAAAATACCTCATTGGGTCCCACAGAATTGGCGGTAGGTGGCCCAGGAGACGTTACCATGGAAGGCCGGACCGGACCGAGCACCCCGGGGAAACTGGAGGACGAGCCGCCTACGGGTTCCGCTGGGGGGTCCATCGCCTTCTTGACTGGACCTTCACTATCGGCCCGGGGGAGCTCGGGAGCGGCGCATACGTCTCCGTCGCTGAGTCCAGCCTCCTCACCGGGTCTTTGGTCGGCATTTCCAGCTGTAGGGTGACACGGAGGTCTCCCATCAAGAGAAATATTGCTGAGGAATAAAATAGCAGCCTGTCTCCTACGGGAGTCCTTCACTTTCCGCCGGTGTTCTCGGCGAACTCTCGCCTGTTTGCTGTTACTGCCGTTGGCCTGCAGACCGCACAAAGCCGTCGCCATTCTACTCTGAAAATGCAGCTGTTGAACACACAAAGGCACCCAGTACCGGTAAACGAGGTTGAGCCCCGCCCACTTCAAAGTTATTGGCTATTTAACTAATTATGCGCTTTAAACCTAGAAAATACACGTCGCTGATTGGTTCATTCTAAACACATTTCCACCAACGGTAGCTGATTGGTTGTATAGGAATTCTAAGGTAATTCCTGAAATATACGGAAGCCAATTCTAATTACGTGATTAAACAGTCTGCAGAAAATGCAAATGTATTCCAAACACTTAATTGCTGGTCCGTCCCCTAAAAGACATGTTTTATTTGATATTTCAGTTTGCAGTTCTGAGAATTTCTAGTGATAGTTGTTCATTTACCTTATTTGACTCCTGCATCAAATACATCTGACTTTGCACCATACAACTGTACTATTGGATAATCAAATGTTTAAGAGCACACATTTTCATAGGTTGTTTTTGTTGTTTTAAGAACAAAACAAAACAAAAAAAATCAACCTAACATCAGCAGACTTTATAGAATACCCTTTAAATGCAACTAATTTGGTTTGATTTAGTTGGAACTGAGCATAATTGGTTTTAAATAAACTCATTTATGAGGTTATTTAACCCTTTATTAGATCTCACAAGATCCATGAGCAAAATGAAAAGTAATTTAGGTATGAAATTGAAATCTTGGTATAAACACCCTCTAGCTGTGTTGTTTTTAAAGAGATAAACATTACATTAATCATTAAGAATCTTGGTCTTTCAGTAAATTAAATAGAAGTAACCAGATTTTAAAAGGCAGAACATTTATTTTATTTTTCAAACATGTTTTGACAATACTTAAACACATTTTCTGAAATTAATATTTTTTGTGATTATTGAGTCACAAGGTTTCTGTGTGAAGTGAAGAACACAAATTTGCCCAGGAGTTTTAGCTTTTAATAAGACGAAACACTTAATTTACAATATGTTAGCATCATCTTTGGATCCTAACTTCAGTTTGTTTAGGGCTCCTTTCTGTCAAATTCTTTGGTTAACAAGGTAAACAAATTCTTAAGATTGTACATAACATGTTCATGTAAAAATTTCACAATGATGAAATAGCAGTTATATATTTCTACCTCATCAATATGTGATACTATTTATTGTTTTTTATTATTAAATAAGAGATACTAGAACTTCACCAAGACCTTTTTTTTTTACAAATTGACATAAAAGGGCATGGATACCATTTACAATTTTATCTTGACAATATTTTACTGTTCCCCTTTTCCTGGCCTTGTTTGTCTTAGTGAAATCACCATAAAAGTATAAAAGAACATGTATCCATTTCCTGTTCTGTGTTGGTCTGTCACATAAAATCCCAGCTAAATGTGAGGTTTGTTTAGTATTGTTACATGTAAAATTCCTTGTGAGAAAATATAATTGAAAGAAGGCGTCATATTCAAAACCTTTAATCCACCAGAATTCTTCCTGATATACTCTTATAACCAGCTTATGCTCATTATAAACAGAAAGCCTGAACTTTGATGCACCTTGAATTTATCTTTCTCTGTGCTGGCACACCTCACATTTGTATCTGTGCAACACCCTGGGAGTCATGATCTGGTATCAGGCACGTGCAGAGGGGGGGGGGGGCTAAGGGGGCTTGAGCACCTGCCCCATTTGTTCCATGATCCCAATGTGCCCTTTTGGTCCCTTTTTTTTTTTTTTTTTTTTTTGACACATGTACTGAAATTATTATTACTATCTTTTTTTTTGGCAAGAAAAACAATACAATAAGCCCTCCGGTCACATTGTTACCTTTGACCTTTTGCCGGTGACGACGCACTTGCCTCTCGCACAGTCAGATAAGGCGGCTAACTGCGGAGCTAAAGGTAGCGAACATTCCACATTACACTGTGGCCGCTGCTAATTTGGCCCTAAGCAAGATCAACCATGATCGGACGGATGGCTATGTCTTCAGTCTGCACCGCCTCTCCAATGTCAACCTGAATAGAGATGTAAGTGAAACCAAATGAGCCCCATGGATGATGCAGTATTGTTTGTTTCTAAAACACTGTTTGCTCTGTGCTTTTAGTCTTTTACATTGAAAATTATGTTTTTTAATTCACAAAAAACTGTTCTGTAATGAACCCTAACCCTAACCCTGATTACAGAACAGTTTTTTTGTGAATTAAAAAACATAATTTTTGGTGAAAATACTGGAGTAGGCTTCCTACTTGTCAGACAACGGAAAACTTTGAACGTTGTATAATTTCTCTACTTTAGCAAAGAGTAGCAGTTTAAACGGAGGAAAGTATAGGACGCGGCGTGCCTTTCTCTGAAGAACTACTGAGCGGGAGGAGACAGCCAGGTGAGGAAAAGCTGTTCTTATCTATCGATTCAGTATTTTTATTATACAGACAATAGGCTGTTGTTCTTGTGCTATGAGCTAGCTGCTAGCTAATGACTTTGCTAGCAAAGCAAGATAACTAAAAAGCTTCCCTGTGTCGTTAATGATAGTAGGACATTCTTCAGTATTACTTATGCAATAGGGGCACATCGCCCGTCAAAAACCTATCATCTCCATAATGGATATATGTCTGATTTTCTAATTTCCTTTGCTGCATGATGTACATTTCATTTATTCTAGCGTTAGGTAAATGTATCTTAAAGGAGAACTCATCCAGAACTACCATGAGAGATATATGATAGATATAATGTATGAAGCTGGTGAAAACAAAACTGCGCAGCTTATGCGAGGAGGATCGGTTGTCAGACCTTCTTTTGTTGGCAATTGAGAAGGATGTGCCAATTAATCACAGTGAGGTTATTAACATTTTTAAAGACATGGCTAACAGAAAACTGCTGCTGTGAACAAAAGAGAACAAAAATAGCAAAAATGCTTAAAAGTTGGAAATTTGTTTTTAAACAGTTAAATCACCATGACGAAAAATACGTTTTTGGATCATAATCTTGGATTTAGTTTGGGGGAAAAAGAAAGGCAAGAGACTGAAATAAATAAGACATTGACCTTCACTCAACACAGAAAAGATGAGACAATGAGGAAAAAAAGAAAAGAGAAACTGACAAGAAAAAACGAAGAGGAAAGATTGAAGAAAATGTATATAGGTACTTACAAAATACACTAAGACACAAACAGAGTAGGCTTTTCTCATGGTGACATGCATTAATAAAATGTTTGTTTTGTTCTTTTTTTTCTGCAGTTCCACGTTAAAGTTTGATGCAGCAGCTCTGCTTTTCTGAATGGACCGTCTCCATCTCCTCTGTCAGTACAGCAAACCAGGCAGACATTCTTTTTTATAGATTACAGTACACTAAAAGGTTGCATTGTGCCCTTGTATGCATTTTTAACAGTTTAATTCTGTAAAGACAAAATATGTCTGGTGGTCCAGCTCTGATTTACATCTTTGGCTAAATTGCAGGTTTGAATATTGTAATACTTTCCTATAACAAAATAGACCTGCAGAAAGAAATTACTAATAAAATATTTTACATATGCATAGTTCTATGTTCTATGTAGAGATTTCCCTTAGCTTTGATTGTATGTCTCACAATTTTGTAATTTATCATTGTTCATTCAACTCTGAAAGCTATGTGACTTTGTTAATATTCTGTCCTAAAATGCAATAAGATGTGCCCTTTTTTTTTTTGAGCACCTGCCCCTTTAGTGGTCTCTGCACGGCCCTGTCTGGTATCTATTTTTACAATTCTTCTGAAATTGTCTTTAAATTCATGTTTAATCATCTGAAAAAAATAAAGTAAAATTAACCTCATTGACCCTTTTCATACTCCTTTTTACACGTGCGAGGGTACGAACAGGAATTTGACCTATGTTAATGCACATTTATGCAGACGTATTGTTAGCCACATTAATAGTTTTCCTTAATTTATCATAATTTCTAAGTGTCTTACATAATAGGTAAAAGTTAAATAGGACGCAGTAGTTACTGACAGCCTGCAGCTGAGTCTCTGTTTGAATCTCCGCTTTTGGTTGAATACAGACAGAGGCGGTGAACGCAAGGTGGGCTTAAAGTTAGCAACCTTCTAGTATTGACATCAATACAGAAGAAGGACCAAAATCATGCTTTGTGGAGAGAGCGCTTTTGTTAGCTTTTCTGCTTAGAACTCAGAGAACATACAAAAACAAACCAAGACACCTTCACATTATGTATATACTGACAGAATTTAATTTAATTTCAGCCCAACACAAACATTTTTCACACATGCGAATTCCTCATATAGCACCACAGTTGTTTTCTTGTTACTCTGCCATCTGAATGTTCAGATCCACATAGACAATGTGGATCTGAACATTCCGACCTGTTCTGTACAGCGACATGAACAGCTTGAGAGCAAACATCCCATCTGTAAAGCTCAATCTCTGTCTTACATTACTGGAATGTCTCATCAACTGGATAAGGTGAAAAAACCTTGTTAGTCATCATAAAAATCTTTAAAAATGGAAGAAAGTAATATAGCTTTTGGTTTCCAAAAAGCTCCTTTATGGGTGGTTCAAAAGTTGCATGGACACATATCCCTTGCTAAGAGAGAATGACAGGTTTTACAGAGTAGGAAAGCGACAGTTGCCTTAATAACCATGGTATGTGGAATCCCATCTTGGAATGCAGAGTATGTTAAACCTTCCAGAAGATGGGCTACAGCAGCAGGTGACCACACCGGATCACCTACAAAATAAAAAAAAGGCAAAAAATGTTGTCTGGTTTGATAAGTTTTAGTTTGAACTACTATCTTCAGATGAGAGGGTCAGAATTCGACATAAACAACATGAAAGCATGGATCCATGAACATTCAGGCTTGTGATGTTGGTATAATGCTAAAGGGGATATTCAATGGCAGAGCTTTGGATCACTAGTACCAGTTTAGTAATGCTTAAACTGGGGCCCATGTCTTTGTATCTTTATTGCATTTTACTTCAGAGCATAGGTAGCAAGTTTGCATCTTAAACAAATAAACACAAAGTTCTGCAATTTTGCAAAATATCTCTGAATTTGCAAAAAAATATTTTTAGTTATTCTGACTTGGGAAC